CTCTTGGTGGAAGCTGTGTTTGAGGAGGCGTGTAAATATTACCAACAGAGGAGCCTGAGTAGCACCCAACTCACTGTGGACACCTTAAAGGAAGGGGGGAGGTTCCAGGCACCCATCTCTTTAGCATCCATACTACGTGATTACCTCAGCTCGGTGCCCAAGCAGAAAGCAGAAGAAACTTCCCAAAATGGAGAAATCAGAGGCGATGTGGCGGAGGACAAGCTGAAAGTGTCACTGGAGCCTGAGCTGAAGGCCTTGGTTGCTGTGGAAAAGTTGAAGGGGACTCTGGTGAGGGCCAGCATGAAAGAAGTGGAGGTACTTTGTGAGAATCTAGTCCAGAAAGAAATAGCCCGGCTGCTGTCCACCCCCGAGCTGCATCGGGACGACTTACTGTACCTCAACTCCATCTTCAGCGTCTTCCCCTGCCAAGCGTGGAGAGCAACACAAGCTGCTCTCCAGCTCCACGACAATGGGGATGGCTCTCTGTCCAGCCAGGTGCCGCCAGACATGTGGAAAACCGTCCTCAGTCCCACGCCGAGCTTCCCTGCCTCGATCCCACTTACAAACGGTGGGTCAAAACATAGGAACAGTCCCAAAGCGGATCACAATGCCAATTGTACATCCAAGTCGACAATCTCCGCTTCATCCGTCGCCCTGCCTGTCTTCGAACTCCTCTGCCATTCTGTTTTAAGCTTCCAGCCTACTTGGCTGCCCCGCTTCCTCGAGCTCAGCCAGCAACAGCATGGCTCAGCCGGACTGCCCCTGAGCCTGGCCGCCTCCTCTTGGAGCTTCCCCGCTGGTAGAGCAGACAACGGTGAGAACAACGTGCCTCTCTATAAGCGCGCCCTGAGCGTGCTGTCGTCCGCGAGAACGGATCGGGACAAGCTGCAGGAACTGGAGGTGGAAGTGTTGATGGTCAGCGGGCGGCCCAACGCCATTCTCCAGGCGCTGAGGATTCTGATTGGCCAGCAGCAGTGGGAGAAGGTGACCCAGGTGGCCCAGAGGTTCTGTAAGCAGAGTCCCCTGCTGAACAAGGAGATCTTCACCACGCTGCTGTGTGAGGTGACCCAGCACAGAGAACTGGACCCCTACCTTGACCTGCTGTGGGCCCTGTGCCCCGAGGACCTCACCGTCACCACCATTCTGAACCTGGTGCTGAAAAACCTCCCGCCGCCAAGCAGCTTGTCGCCCTCTTCCCTTTCTGTGGACTTCAGGCCCAGCGCCTCCCCAGCTCCCTTTGGTGACCCACAGAGTGGTCAGGTGACCGTCGGTCTCCTCAAACCTCTGCTGAGAAAGGTCCTCCAGAGGGAGACCAAGCCAAGCCAGCATTATGCTGACATCCTGCAGTCCCCCTCCTTCCCACCTCCCACGCCCCCCCGCATGCCTACAGAGCCATCCAAAACAAGCACAGACTCACCCCGGGACAGTACCTTACTTCCTGGTTCTAACTGCTGACCGCCTGTGATGTGACCACACATACTTTATTTAGAGACTCCTAGTTGTGTCATAACTTTCAAGCGATGGCTACTCCATAGTGTTACCATGTAAATACTTCTGCTAATTTTAACATGGCCATAGTGAGCCGGTGAACTAATTTATCCCTTCAGCGTTACATGCATGTGGATGTTAAAGTTAACATTGGCTTGCCACAGTTGTGTTCATGAAGTGTTTGAAAGTACCGTAGCTTGTGATGACTTAGATCACTAACTTTTGGCCACATTCACACAAACCGTTTTTTTTTCCCCATTACATTTAGTAAAATGCCAGCTCAGAGCTCAGGGTATCTTCTGTGGAGTTTGGATGTCTCTTTGTAGTACGGCTTCCTCTTGTATTCCAAAAACTGCATGTTGGGTTCATTGACAACTCCAAATTGTCCAAAGGTGTAAATGTATCCAATGTCCATATGTGCCCTCTTGTTGACAGGCATCTGTGTATGCCACCTACATCCCAAAGTCAGCTAGGATAGTAGACAAGTACTCTAACAAGTACCCCCCCCCCATTATACAGTATAATATATCATTTGTGCATTTGTGGGAGAGGTTTAATTGTACCTTTTCTATCAATGACAGATTGCTGTTTGACTAATGCACTGGACAACTTGCAAATAATGTTTTTGCACTAACGGGATAAGATTTATTTTGGCAGAGTGCGTTGAAAATGTAGTTTTAAAAATACTTGTGTGTGCGTGTGGTGGTGGTGGTGGGGGCGGGGGGATTTTTATCTGACGCATCAAAGTTTGTCCCCAAATGCTCCACAATGTCCAATGCTGTCATCGTGAACCCACAACCCCCCACGCCCCCCACACACACACACATTCCTTTTCAGCTCACAAGACATTCCTGATAGAGATGCCAAAGGAAAAGTGACGAATAGTTGAGACTTCAAATTCAATTTCAGAGTAATTCCAGCATGAGGGGGCACACAGAGTCAGTGTGTCTTCCGCAGAGCTGTAAACAATCCTGAGTCTTATCGCTACTGACCTCGATGCTCTAGTTTACTATAACCTCAGTCGGTTGTTTGTATTAAGTTATTCAAGTGCCATGTTGTTTGGTCATACTGAAGTGCCCCTATTGCGGCATTTAACATCACGAGATTTGTTGCCCGCAAAAGCCACTGTGACATGTTTGTAATGGTATCAGACTAGATGGTTGCTTTCGTTTGAATGTTATTCCTGCTGTAGTAGTTTGAACACATTTGGCTCCACTGTAATCAAATGACTGTTGTCACTAAATTTACCAAGACTCGCTTCAGTGAACTCTTTCATTATTAATGTAGCTTCAACAATTTCCTTTGTTCGGGTAAGGCTCCCCTTTTGTCAAAAATAAGCCAAAACTTGTGTACAAGTATGTCTGAATGCTATTAAACTGTGATAAAATGCTTGTGCTTTTTCAGCCTCAAATGCTGCCTACTTCGTCTTGTATTTGCTCATAATTTAGCCCCCCTCTTCCTAAAAGTAATGAACTGGATTTGCGCATAATTCAATTTCAATCTAAAAAAAAAAAACAAATCAGTACTAGGCTAATCATATATACTGTTTGATTAAAATATATTTATTTTAAATACATGTATTAAAAAAAAATCAAAGGACCTTATTCACAAATAAATGCATGTTTGCTTTTTACGCACAAGATGGGCGCATCCGCAAAATCACTGTCACATTCACGACACGTGCGTATCATTGATCGCCGACAGACATTTGTCAAATATAAACGTTTCCACCGTCTGATGGGGAGACTGACTTGATCGATACAAAAACCGAGGCCTTGATTTAATTTCTGGTTGTGCGATCAAAAGTGCTTTCTTTACGTAGTTTAATGAACCCGAATGCCTTGTTGAGTTTCTGCAGCTGATGTTGAAGCTTTTGTATGAGCAGAGGTGATCTCATTCTTACAGCCAGTAGGTGGGTTCCACATGAAGACGTAAAGGATCACAGGAGCAGTCCAAATGTAGAACGAGAGAGTAACTGGAGTGTCCCAGGAGATGCCTGATGGATTTTTTCCTCCGTCCTTGCTCATAACATCCTCTGGCCACAATATTAGGTACACCTGGGCAACACAATCTGAAGGATCGAGTCCACAAAGCCAGTTCCAAATTAGCTCACTGGTGATGGGACAATGTGTTTTCTCAGGAATGTTGTAGAAATGTTATTTGTAAAACACTTGCAGATGTTGACAGAAACAAAATGTTGCACATTAGATGTTTCTTGGTGCGTCAAGTCACGATTGACTGTTGTACATCATTTAACATGATCAGTGTCCCATAGATGAATGTCAATAATGAACATAATTAACGGTAATTTCAAAACAGTGGAATTGTTAATCGTAATTAATGTAAATTTATTTCTTCTTAGGCTAAATGTAGTTTTAATTTACATTTTAAGAGTATTAATATTGTATGAAAAACCACCGTACCGTGAAATAAAAACAAATAAAACGTGTTTGATTGACGTAGTGGAGATGGAACAAGATATTTGCAGCATGGCACTGCCCCCTAGTGGCACTTTTGTAGGTCTTGCTGAAATAATGTCAAGCCATTTCAAAACGTGTGCAATGGTTGTACTGAGCAGCCAAACTTTGCTACACTACACTTAATCTTTGCCAAAAGGCCGCTGCCTTGTGCCAAGGACTTTTTCTCTTTGTCATTTCTGGTACTTTTTTGTGAATGTTGGTATGACAGCATCACAAAAAGTCTCAAATTATCCATTAGATGCGCACCAATTGATGCGCTACTTTTCTGTCTTCAGTCAGTATTCAGACCTAATAAGCCTTCTGATTTGAGTGTTACAGTTCTCCTAATTCAATTATACATAGACCACCTGCCTCGTTTAATGGGTAAAGAAAATACATGCAGCGGACTCCCAGCACGCCTCCGTTGTGTTTAAGGCAGTGATAATTTTACAGTTTGAGCCCTGCGAGTCCCAGGGACTCAGAAAAGTATGAGTCCCATTATGCATTTAGAGAGTCCTAAATTTGTAATTCTGAAATGGTCTACTTATTCAATTGCATATGATAATAACACAAACAACAGCAATATACATTGATAATAGGTTTATTTCTTATATACAAATGCTGCAAAAATGTAAATAATTCAGGCATACAAGATTATTATCGCAAAAAACTATCCAACTTTAGCTGCTTCCTCTGATATCTCTAACACTTGCTTTAATGTTACACGACTTGGCAATTGTCTGCTTTCCACGCGGTGAAGACCGATTTTGCCAATCTCGTCTCGCAAGAACGGAAATCTCGTCACGCGAGATTACTAAACGTGAGATCAAAACAACAATGGCGGCGATTATCAAACTGCGATCGTTGCTGGAAAAAAAAGATTCAAATAGTTTTTTTGCTTTTTTTTTTTTTTTGGACAAAAATTTCCTTGCGTCCCAAAAACGCACATTATTTGGAACTGTACGTCTGGCGGGAAAATTATGCGTCTTGGACGCGGGACGCAGAGGTAACAAGATGACTGTTAAGGTTATTGTGCCATTAATTTTTTTTTAAGCCTAATCTATCCAGTACAGTATGTGCAACATCTTTGCCAGAGTGCTTTGCAGATTTCATTTTTTGTCTTCAGAGTTGTCTAAAATCTCAAGTCAACGTTGTTGTCGCTGTCAAGATGAGGACCATGCTCCGTTTTCATTCCTTGTCACTGGAAATAACACATCGCCAGGCCGGAAATGTTCAGTTGGGTTGACATATAGACAAATTCATTTAAATATATGTGGCAGTTTTTAACCCACCCATATCCACAGAGCTTAGTGTTTTTCCTGGTTAGTGGTGACAATATAAATCTAATTTAACAGTTCCAATAATGCCATGTTGACTCAGGTGGCGAAATGAATGACTGGATCAATTTAAAAAATGCTCCCACATCCATCTCGCCATCAAAGTGGATTAGAATATAATTAGATGGTGAAATGAAATTAATCGGGGCATGACCTGTGTTTCTGTCTAGACTGTATTTAGTTGAAAGGGGAAGTCAAACCCAACATTTTCTTTACAATATGTTCATTGCCTGTTTTCTCAAGGTGAGCCATGATTGGTTGTTACCTGAGCCACTCCGATGTCATTTTAAATTGACAGCAAGTTGTAAAATGGCTGCCCCCTGAGATGGACAAAAACAGGTGGATTGTATTGCTTAACTCACATTCCACAGACACATATTAATAAGAATACCGTGTTTGGACAAGTGTGGCTGCACAAAACATAATTGTAAAGTAAATTTGGGGGTTGACTTCCCCTTTAATGTTATTTCGTTATTTCTGCACTCATTTGTTCCCCCCACCACCACCATCTGTTCTCATTAAACTGCTGCACTGTGTCTACCAATCGGCTTGTCTAGGTGCTCATTGTCTTGTCAGTTTGCTTGTATTTAGTTGCCTCTGGTTTCTTTCAGTCCTTGCCGGTTCATTGGCTTGTCTCGTCATGTTGCATGCTGTCATGAGTCCGTTGGCCGTTTTGGTTTGTTACTTTTATATCTTGTTTTATGTATTTTTAGTATTTAATCCGTGAATATGCCCTTTATTGTTTTGTTCTGGGAAAATATCTTTACCTTTTGTTTTTAAGTAGATACTGTCCTTGGACTTTGTTTCCTTTCTTCGCTGGAGTATTCTTTCCTAAAAAAAAAGAAAAGAAATAAAAATAAAAAAATCCCAAATATTGTCATTTTAATTAAAATATAAATTTGATAAGATGAAAATAGTGGTTTTATTTTTTCAGTTTTTGTAATGTGGGAGGATCTAAAAATCATACACCCTCCGCGCAGGACTGCCGGAGTCATTTTTTTACCCCAGAACAGCAACATGGAGCATGGTAATATGGATTAAGGCTGCATGGGCACTCTGGTGTAAATGTACTCACTTCGTGATGTCGGCGTACTTCATTCTTCTGTAGTGCTTTGCTAGTCTCACAGACAATATGATGCTGGGGATAAACAAGATGACGCACCAGCCAAGACTGAACCAGAAGGCATTCTAATGGTATGTGAAAAACACATAAAACCAATCACAAATTAGTTATTTGGATCTGACAATGCTACCTTTTTTTTCCTGAATTGCGGTTCCTGCTTACCAGAGATGACACAAGGTACAAACACAGGATGGTCTGAGCAGAGTCCACAACCTCAGCCAGAGGACCACAGCGGCCAAATTCGACCTTCATCTGATGAAAAAAAGTGTTCAAAGTTTGTACAGTAGGTTTGTTAGTTTCTAGCTAGCTAGCTAGGTTTTTTTTTGTGACTACCATTAGTTTGTTGGTTTCAAAGGTAGCGGCATTACGGTACTTTGATAATGGGCCAGCTAGTTTTTTTTTTTTTTATTCTGCTTTCCAGGAAGGTGGGATTTATTGTACTGGTACTTTATAGTACCCGTTACAACATCAAAGCATTCCAGGCAAATGTAAACAACAAAGAAGACTGATTCTAATCAATTGTTTTTTGTTTTGGTTCATCACAACACATCAGAATCAGAATCGCCTTTATTGTCATTGTATAGCATACAACGAAATTTGGGTGCCACTCCTTAGTGCATTTTGTAAACACATTGACCGTCCCCCATAATACTGTTTAGCTTTAGGAATACAGTGTTCCCTCCCTCCTTCTCGGTTCATTTGTTGCGGATTCACTCTCATTTTCATTTGTGACCATAAGTCAGACCGGTGTTTTTTTTTTTTTTTTTAAATACAAAACGGACCATGAAAAGTAGACAGTTGGTTACCTATAATCAGCAGCGAGGTATTTATTCTACATTTTGCATTTTAAAAGTTACATTTATTAAGTGTAACAAGTACTGTATTTAGGAGGGTGGGAACTCTGTGATGGGGCTCATAATGGCTTCATAGATAAAATAAAGAAAAAACATTAACCTCTACTTCATGGAAATTCATTTACGGGGGTGGGGTGGCTGGAAATGTGTTGCCTATGAAAAGTGAGAGAAAACTGTAAAGTAATATCATTTCATTGTGTAACTTAATTGGAGAGACAGCAGTCCCTATAATCATCATGCAGTCAGCACAAATCACGTGACGTTGAGAGAGGAAAGTAATTTAATCTGTGCTGTATGTTACACACAGAGCATATTTGACAATAAAAGCTGACTTGATTTGACTTGACTTGATGTAAAATAAGCAAATTAATGACAATACAGAGAGATAAATATATGTTGATAATCTTGAAACTTGTGTTTTGCCATTCACTGTCTGTGTCTCCATGTGGATCGCCATTGTCGAATGGCGTCAGGTTCGGCTAGTTTTAATCAGACCCCACAAGTACTCCCCCCTCCCCCCACTTTGCGACTCACACCGCTCTGTTCAGAATAGTGTTCCATGGCAAGTTTCCTGGTCGAAGGTCAGAAAACTCAAGACTTCCCACTTCATGAAAGGAAACATTGGTTTCACTGCAAGTTTGGTCATTACATTTTATATTATTAGCAGTTAGCTGTCCAGACAGATAGCTAACTTTTCAACCAGTTAAAGTTAATTGTAGGTTAGCTTGGTGGTTTCTTAGAACCACTACACCTGTGACTGTAGAGGGAAGGTGTGACCGATGAGGTGTCAATCATTTTTCATGCCGGCGCCCGGCACACAACAGCAGCCTCGCTATTCTATGAATGTGGGGTTGGGGTTGCTCATCACTAACTTCTGCAGGAGCCTGATAACAACAACATGGAGATGTATTGTATACGTCCTTACCATACGTCCGATACAATCTAAACCGGGAGACAGCTGACTTTGCAGGAATTTTTTAATGTTCTGTGGGTGATAAAGAATATTGAGAATAATATCAAAATAAAATCCAGAACAATAATCCTCAAATATTCTTTCTAGCTTGCAATCGTAAAGAATTAGTGGATTCTCCCAGTATGTGGCATTTGGAGTAAAGCCTCTGAAGCGAATTATTAACATCAAGAGCAGTGTGTCAGTCTCACATTTTATCCCATTCAGTCTAATTGGCTGTATGTCTGCCAAGAGAACTTTTGCATACATGGCTACACAGGAAAAGAAAAGCTAAAACATTTTGAAAAAGTTATTTGGCTGGAATAATGCTGTTGCTATTTCATTTAAACAAAAATGTGTCAGCACGTACTATTTTTAGGTTTTCTTAGAATAGGATGAAGAATTTATGAGAAGTGAAGTATCTAATTTAGTTTACAAGACATATTTCATGAAGTCATAAATAATGGTACAGAATCATGTATTTAGTTTAAAGCCAGCCAGGAATAGTCTTGGTAAATTATCGAAAAGTAAAAGAACCTAATACAGATTTGTAATGGAAAAAAAGTAAAACTGCAACCAGGGGTTCGAAAGAGCAAAGGCAAAAAAGGGGAGAGAGATTGTGATGCAAACTCACAGCTTTAATGTTTTCGGAGGTGAGAGCATTTTGTGTGTTCTCCAACGTGTTCCCCACATCCTACAAGAAAATAGTACAATTATGCATTCAACATAGGCACATCATCATGTACATATGTAAGATGAGCTCACCTTTATGACGTTTATAGTTTTAATGGCATCTTGCTGCAAAGGAAAAGCAGATGTAGAGCATTTACAACGCTTAACAGAGGGTTGTAATCGCATTCAAGGATATAATCCAAGCTGGCCACTTGCCAGTTAATAATGTTTACTTGCTAGCTGTGTGTTCACTGGTTACTTCGCTCATTCATTAGCTGCGTTTGGCTCGAATTGCAGTTTGTTCGACAATTACTTTAGCTTGTTGTTTAGCGATCATCATAGTTGGCTGGCTATGTGGTTTGTTTGCTGGTGTGACAATTTGTTTCAGAGCCAGTGTGATAGTTTAACGAGATATTAAATTACTTGACTGGCTTGTGAGTGGTTTGTTCGTTGACTGCATAGTTAGACGTCAACTTGCTCGTTTATTAGGTTGCATCGTCGAGGCCACACACCAATTTTGGGTTGATGTTCATCATAATAGAGGTCCGAATTTTGGTCAGGTCGTCGGCTGCTGTTTTCAATACCCCACTGAAGAATGGGTCCTGAAGGGTGACAAGATTAGCGGATGTGTTAACGTTCACTGTGATCATTCCAGACAACTAATGTGAAGTGGTGAGGTGACTCACATTACTGGCTGTGGCTTCATCTCTGAAGTTCTCAATTGTGTTGTCCAGTTGAGTGGTGTCAATCTAATGCAGTCCAAAACATATTACGATAGTCCATACACAACTGTAATGACAATGTACTAGATTTTTTACTACCAACATTGTTTAACCTGATTTAGTTAATGGTTTGGTCATTGTTTTCCAAAGCAAATGCAGATGTTAAGAAAAGTCTGCTTTCATGAAGGACTTTACAAATCTCAACTCAACTCAAGTGTATTTATAGAGCACTTTCAAACAGCCATCGCTGCACACAAAGTGCTGTACATGGAGCAACTAACATATACAACAGTAAAGCAACAAAAAAGTAGCAAAGACGGTAGAGAGCACCAAACAGTACAACTAAGATCATAACTTGGGTCATGCTGAGTCAAATGCCAAAGAATACAAGTGAGTTTTGATGCGGGTTTTAAAGATGGGCAGCGAGGAGGCTTGCCGAATGTTCAGTGGGAGGTCATTCCAGAGAGAGGGACCAGCAACGGAAAAGGCTCGATCCCCACTGAGCCTCAGTTTAGTTCTTGGTACTTCGAATAACGTCTGGTCCGCAGACCTGAGGTGCCGGGCAGGTGTGTAGGGGCGGATGAGCTCAGAGAGGTAAGAGGTAAATCGAAGAACAATTACTATTAAGAGACTGAAATCAAAGGATGTGGACAATTTTAAGTTCAACAATGGCTCTGAATGCTTACTCGATTGTTAAAATAGTTGCTGATTCATTTTCACACCTCCGCACAACATAAATCAACAACAACACGCAGGAGAATTTCTGTCCCATTTAACGTAGGTGGACAGGTTCCAGACAATGTCACTCGTGTTATCTACTTGGGCAGCCACAATTTTTTTTTTTTAAATCCCAAATTGCTGTATGTAAGAAAGAACATGACTTTTTGTACTACTGTATTTTCGTTGAAGAACCCACACACACACTCGGACATTTTCAGCGTACCTGTAGATGGTCCGTCTGGATGTTTTGGAGATTCGTTTTGAATTCTGCATTGATGATTTCGGGGACATTGATGTTGATATTATCGATTTTCTTGATGTGCTGTGTACCAAGAAGATGTGTTTTAAGATATGCACGTAATCATCACCAAACGTGAGAGTTTGGTGAGAGTGGGAGGAGTCGACATTTACCTGGTCTATTTTAAGGTACTGATTAATTTCAGATCCGTAACTCTGTTCCAGCTGGAGTGTGGACCACAGAGACTTGTTTTTCCCACACTCACTGCAAACACGAACATCATCCTTCAAATTGCGGCCTACTTGAATCTTTACCAAAATTTAGCTTTGTATGACAGTCAAAGCCCTCGCCCTCTGCAAATCATCTGCTGGTTTTAACAATCGGTCTACGTCAAACTTGGAAGGAGGAATGTGGTTGTTTGAACTGAGGCAACACAAGCATGGCAAGGTCACATGACAAATATCGTCCTCATTTCAATATTAATGTCTTGAATATTCACATCTCGATTTCAATACAATAAGGATATCTCGCCCAGCACTAGACCCTTCAAAATTTGTTCACAATTGTCCAGTTAACTCTTTGGTTGCTTTGCTTGACGTGCAATCTAAATGTGGTCACGAGTGGCAATGCCAACAATCCTCTCATGTTAGCAACAATTATTAACAGTATCGTTTTGTCTCGTGGCCCCTTTGGACAATTAATTGCACACCCTTAACCTGTGGTGCGTTGTAATGCAGAATAAACATGCGTACGTGTATGTCTATCTACCTGTATATACTCGAGAGAGTGAAATTGCCCTTCAGCTTTAGAGTTTTACCCAAATCCAATTGTGGTATCACAGTTGGAGCGAACTGTCGAGAGGAGAAAAAAACAAGCATGTTCACGCATGTGCATGTTACGTTTTTGTTGTTGTTTTAAGCATTTTAAACACTTTACCTTCAGCAGTTCTCCACTGCTCCATGGTTTACACACCAGCGTGTGAACATTGCCTCCCAGCAGAAAGAGCAGCGTCACAGCCAACATGAGCAGCCACGAGACCAGGAAGCTCAAACTTGCCCCACTGAAAATGAAAAGGAGACGGTTACCTCCGACAAGCACAAAGAGCAGCAATTGATTTTCATCTTCTTTTTTTTTTCTTTTTCGCAGGAGCAACCATGTAGCCACAGCTTTTGCAATGTGGGGATCATGATACAAAGTCAAATATTTGAGCAAATAAAAATGAAAATGTATCAAAAGATTGACTTCTGTGGCCAAGATGGCAGTGCTAATTCAATCAAAGATTAAGAGGGGAAGGGTACAGTAGTAATTTGGCCAACACTGAACTGCACTCACGTGATGAGGATAATTCCACCACAATTGGCCACATTGGATCGTTCCGTGGGCTCTTGAGTCGGTTTCAGACCGAGGGGTCCCAAGATGAGACCCAGAACGTTACATAGAACCACGAGCAGGACCACGAAGCACATGCTGACACACACCCCCCACCTAGCAAAGCAACAACCAATGAGACAATGGATTTTGTCTCCTCTGCTTTCATGTGTCAATGACGAGCGCTTTGGAGTCTTCTTACCTGATGCTCTCGGCTCGGTCCACCTTCCTCTTCAACTGGATGTTATTCTGCAGGTTTTCCACCCGGCCCAGTAATTGATTCATATTTAACTTTTTGGAAATGTCGTTCACCTTTTGGGAGATCTGAGTTTTGATATTGTTCACTAAATTTGAAATGGGACAAAATGAGTAATTTGATATCTTGACACATGGCTTGGGCACGTAATGATTACTCACGGTTCAAGGTGTCCAAATTGTTTGTGATGTCCCTTAACTACAAACAAGTCAAATGGTTACTTTTTAACTTTAAAGTAACGCACAATGCATCATAGATGAAAGAGTGGATAATCTACTGAGTATCCTTGGTCACTGCTATTCAAGATGTTTTGTCAGACTAAAGGCATGACATTTATGCACACAAAAAATTTGAACAGATGGAAAACCAGGCTAAATATAGAGTGTTTTTTAACACTAGGCAACCTTAGTGAGGCTAAGAAGAGGTACAGAAAATGGATGGATGAATGTTTCAAACACAGCCAATGACACAAATATGTAATTAAAACAGAGGTTAGTGTTAGCAATTCCAATAACAACAATAACAATCGTAATAATAATAAAGAACATATGACTTAATGAAATAATGCAATGAACTGACCCTGTCAGGTGATTTACTTGCTTCCAGTTCCTTTCTAACTTTAGTTAGTGCATTTTCCATGCCAGCATTTGTGAACTGTGGACCAAAAAAAATGAAAAGAAAGTGTCATGCTCAATTTTGTCAACAGCATATTTTCTATTATTCTTGTTATGGTTATTTTAATCCCGCTGAGTTGAACTGAATCGAAACATTCCACTTTTAACACTCTGAAGAACCAGTCAAGTACAATATTTGATTGTTGTGACTTACATCGGATGGCAGGTTAATGCTCTGTAGATTCGCCCTCACATTGTCACAGTCGGCCGTGATGCATGGTGTCAGTTCATTTGTAATTTTGTTGTTTAAATTATTGAAGTTCGTTTTCACATCTGTCATTTTGTTGTTCAGGTCGTTCTGCAATGTCGTCAGGTCATCCACAGCTACCCATGGAAAAGTACACCGTTAAGCATGGGTGTCCACATCGTTTTCAACCAAACACCTGACAAAGCATTCTTTGGCTGTTTTGGGAAAGAATCAGCCTCAACACATTTGTATAATTTTGACATCGTTGCATTGTCTAAATAAACAGCTCGGTGTGTCGCAAATTATTCCAAATATGTAAAAATGTTTCATGTTCAACACGTTTAATGTACACTTCATATTTTAGGTTTTTTTCAGGGCATAAATCGGCATTCAGTATGAATGTTGTGTTAGAATATGCTTCACAGTCACCCAAGACTGCAAGCGGGCAATTTCCGACCACCTTGACGGACAGAAAACTCCCGACCTAAACGAAATTACCTAGACGACAAGCTACCAAAACAGAAACACGACCTACCACTCTACCTCCTGACCGAACAATAAGCGTAGCTAAACAAGAACCAATTACCCACTCCCTTACTAAGATACCAACTTACCGAAACAAAAACTACCTGCCTAACAAAAAATACCAACCCACCCAAATGAAAAAAAGAGCAAAACCTATCTACCACAAGAAATGATCTTCCTTTCCAGCTACCCAAGAAAAGCTACCAACCCAATCACCACCTACAGAAACACCACCTTACCCATCCATCCACTTACTTCTATCCCTACTTATATATTAAATAACAAACGACTTAAACATAAACTATTTACTTACCGATCCATCACTACCCAAGAAAAGCTACCAACCCAATCACCACCTATAGAAACACCACCTTACCCATCCATCCACTTAACTTACTTCTATCCCTACTTAAATATTAAATAACAAACGACTTAAACATAAACTTTCATAAATTTACTTACCGATCCATCCATCCATCAACCTATACCACAACTTCCAGTTCTTGTATGTCTAACATTTGATCTAAAAGGCAACCAAAGAGTGCAAAGCACTTCTCAGGATGATGGATTGTAGATCGTGGCCTGGTCTCTGCTTGTCGAAACTTGACAACAATGATGCAATCAGCTCTTCACGCGCTCAGTCACAAACAGTACTTGGTATGCAAACGCTCAGTCACAAACAGTACTTGGTATGCAAACGTGTCATACCAACTTTTAGACGGTCAAGGTCAGGCACCCCAGCATTTGGAAGGATGTGATTCAGTAACGCAGGTCCTGACAGGAAACATATTAGGCGGAAAGATGAGAACAAAGATGATAACAAATTTGACTACATTAAAAATTACTCTTGATACCTTTTATGGTTTTTTCAACATTGTCCACCATGTTACTGCTCTGGTCCCCCACATGTTGGAATTGCTGTCAACAGGAAGATCACTTTTACCATATTAAACACAAGGCTGAAACATCGGAAATCGTAGAAATGTTTGGCAATTGTGACAATAAAAATGTCATAAAAATGTGATGAAGTAATAAAACTGAAACAATATATCAAATTTTACTCTTAAAAAAAAATCACTCTCGTGTTAAGATGTCATTCGAAAAAATAATTCAAAAATTGCACCCATTAGTTATTCAAATAAAATGGATATTTTATTTTAATGGTATTCAACTAGTCAACCAGTTAGATTTGATAAAACAAATTGAAAAAATGCATTTAATGAATGAAGTTTAGGAAAAATGGCTTGCAAAATTGCAAAAAAAAAAAAAAAAACAGTTCACTCTTGTTCATGTAAATGGTCATTAGGCCCAATTAAATAACAGAGCAAGGACCCGTGTTCTTTGAACAGCCCTGGATTTTGATTTGGTTTGAGCAGCAGCAATCATCCAAATAAGCATGAGTAAAGAGAAGTAAACAAAGGTCCCCAAACAGGCATAGTGGAAAATACCTTGTCCAGGTTTCTGAGAAAGGCTTTGATGTTATCAAAGGTGTTGTTGAGTTTTATTTGGCTTTGGTCCAGTCTCGCTCTGAATTCCCAGTTACTTTTGAACATGCAGATGTTACCAGCTCTGCAAACACAAGAGTCCAAAATATGACTAAGGTTACTTGCAATGTGCTACCACAGAGTCACTAAAATAAAAAGACTTACAAGAGAAAGATTGTGATGATGGCAGTGCTCCAGTATAAGTTCCTCCTTTCCTTCAAAATAGAGCGTGTCTGCTCCAGGTACACTTCGGCCCCACATTTGCCAGCAAAGCGGCAGCAGGCAAGCACCGAGCCCACTATGGGCATCACTAGGATGTAGAGGAGGCCGATGACCGCGCACACTACAAAGCCAATATCGTAGGCCAACACCTGTTCATGAACAAATTGGGGTATGGTAGTTGTCAAAATACCTCTTCCCAATTAAGCATTTTATACAGGTGGTAGGGGAGAAAGAGTGGGGGGGGCGGTTGGTAGGAAGCGATGTGGTAAACTAGATGGGTAAGTAGGTAGTGTGCTAGGCACATAGTATGGCTAGAAAGGTAAGTAGCTGTCAAGGTGGCTAGGTAGATAGGTAGTTAGCTAGATAGGTAGTTAGCTATGTGAGGAGTTAGGTGAGTACCAGGCTAGCAAGCTTTATGGCTAAATAGGTAAGTAGTTAGTGACGTGGGTACACTCTAAGAACACTTGGGTTAAATTTCTGTATATATAGATCTATATATATAGATAAATATCTAAATATATAGATCTATATCTATTTTATTATATATATATTATATATATACACACACACACACACACACACACACACACACACACACAATGCCTTACCAACCAAGGCCCTTGAGCTTTTTTTTTTTTATTCCTGCACTCAAACTGTCCAACTAATACGCAGTTACAAGGCAACGTGACAGTTGTCTAAGGATTAAAATGAGTAAAGTACTTACCAAAACAACGATAAAGAAATTCAAATGTCAGTTATTTATTTCAACATGATGCTGTGCGTGTAGACATAAGAACGGGAAGTCGATGGCTGTCATGGCCACCAGTCAGACTTGATTGGTTGATTTTTGACCGAACAAAAACATTACAGGCATATAACCCAATACATGTTTAATTTGAACCAAAAATTTGGTTACTTCCATCAGAAATAACCCAGAATTTTGACCCAACACACACAATGCAAACATTGAGTCAATGAAATAACCCAACTATTGAGTGGGTGTTGAGTGTTTAGTTATCCAGATGGTTAAGTGGGGAGAAAAAGTTCTTGCTGAGGTTGGCTTGGCAAGTAAGGTTCTAAGCATGGGTGTAAATTTTCCTACATATGTATTGTTCAGTTTAAATACAGCCAGAGAAATGGTTGTCCTGTATTTTTGAGCAGTGAAGGGCTTTTAATGGGGAAAAGAAGAGACCTCCATAGCCAGTAGTTTTTTTCTGTAGCTAAAAATAACCATGAATGTGAACACACACACACACACACACACACACAAGTCAATGACTCAGGATATTAGTTGCTCTTGCACCACAAGAAAGCAGGTGAAACTTTCTACCAGGTCTCTAACAACAAAAAAACACTCACCTGTTTAATGTACTTGTCTGATCGCAGAATGCTCATATTCCGCACTGCTTGCTCGATCAGCCCTAGATCAAGGGATTCAAGCAGAGAGAATGGTGAAACCTTATTTAAAACGAGTTTCTGCAGACTAAACAGAATTTCAGTTTTTCAAAAAGGGATGGTTAGAAGCATGTTGTGTTCCACGCAAAGATTTTAATCTGTGAGATTGTAACAACAGAAATGTGACACTTGCGTACCAGGAGATGACAATGCAAAATGCAGAGTTGTGCTGGATTTGCATACTCGTGGTAAATACAGTACGTATAACTACTGACTGCTACCTCATTCACCTGCTGGTGACACAGCACCAGGAGCAACTGGTGGTTTGGTATCTTGCTCAAGGACACTTGGACATGGCTCCTGTGGCCGGGGATCAAACCACCAACCTCCAGGTTGGGAAACGACCACTCTACTACTGAGCTACTTGTGCACCTTTCCAAATGTTGCTTTTTTTCTCCAAAAATTGTGATTTAATTTCTCATTGGAAAATGCTTCTTACAAAGTATTACTGACCTTCAGGAAAGGCTTTGGGTTGGATAACAGTGAGAAAGCCATTGACCGTATTAGCCATGAAGCTGGTAGTCTTGTCAGACAAATCAGAGTAGTTAGCCGAAGGCATGTCCTGTGGGTTACATGCTGCGTTTTGTTCCGCTGCTAAGTAACCCCCAAGAATCCAGAATCCTGCTATGGCCCTCAACACTGCAACCATGCCGTGCCGCATCTTGCTGGCCTCTGTTGCCTTGATTAGCGGAAGGGAGTACCGTCAGGGGCCACTTGGTGGAAAGTGTCTCACCTGCAACCGACATCATACAAATACTGTAAGATGACAAGCTCACATAGGGGAACCCACACAGATGGTCACAAAAACAGGCAGTCGGGCTCGTCATAGAAATAGGGGAAAAACTAAATAATGAACATTCTCCTTAGTTCCGCATGTTAAATACTATGTTGACACATTAGTGTGGAGAAAGAGCTGACTTTTAAACAGTACAGCCGAATAACAGGAAGCATTACAAGATGTTGGGTGAGTTTCTGTGTTCGTAGTGTAAACACAATGAAATGCTGTGTGCACCTGAAACACCGGCACGCCTCTATTACTGCAATCCGGTGAGATTCCAGAGAGGCACAGCAAAGTACTTAAACTTCTGGTCTGCTATTCGACCCCTGTTGCACAAACCTAAATCCAAGACACAAAAAGTTTTTGAAGACAACAGCATTTAATGCTACAAACTACGTCAGGTTTAGGAAGAACAAAAAGCGCTCATGCCTCACAGATGACAGTGTACAATCAAATGTGAAAACGAAGGTGAGGTCTACAGCCCTGACGCTGCATGCTGAGGTTCGGGAACAAAAATACTTTATAACCAGGATAAAATAATGACTTTAATTGGCTGTTATTTTGCAAATGTGTACTATGCATTATTAAGTGAAATAGATCTTTATCATTTGACAGCTGACATGTTGATCAATTTATGCCGGAACACAGAAGCCGACGGCATTTTTGGTTGCCTGCAAGTGGATAATTTCAGTTTGGCCTTCATTTCACAAACAAGGGGAGGTCTCATTTCGATATTGAGTATTTTATTTCAAAGCCAGCTTCAAAAAAAGAATCATTTGTATTGTTTTTAGTGTTGGTGGTCGTAGTGGTATGGGCATGTGAAGCCCTTGGGAGACTTTTTGTCATGAAGGGCTATTTAATAAATTGGAATTGACTTTTGACCAGTGTTGCTTTTTACATGGTGGTCGTAGTGGTATGGGCATGTGAAGCCCTTGGAGACTTTTTGTTATGAAGGGCTATTTAATAAATTGGACTTGACTTTTGACCAGTGTTGCTTTTTACACCACAATTGGACTACAAATTAAAATATTAATTTAACTAATTACTTAATATGAATCCTGATGTGGACCACAGGCCAGAAATTACATTTAAAGTGATAAAATAATAAACTTTTGAATATGGTTGGATCACAGCTATACTATACTTTTGTCAATATCATGTCGTCTACATGCATTTAATCCCTCAAATCAGACCAGTGCTGATAAAAAAAAAAAACTTCTTAAGGTCATGAAAAGGAAGCTGGAAGTAGTGCAAGAGGCACTAAACTGATATAAATTGACACACCTACCACATCTCAGTGACCTCCTGTGAAATGCGATTCTGATGGCGGTCCCACTCCACGCTGATCTGCTCTACAGGTGGATTACATGCTTTGCCTCTGGGAGGAGGGTGAAGGAAATGGTGGCACTAAAAGATGAAGGAGTGAAGTCATGGAGGAGGAGCAGTAGGTGGGTGTGAAGGAAGTAAATAGAAATGTGATCTTGGCCCACCAGCTTCGCAGCAGTTGGGATCACGCAGGTTAAAAGTTATTGGAAGAGCAAATGCAAATGAGCCCAGACATACTGAACCAAGAGATTACGGCAACATAAACTTTTAGTTGAATGGTTACACAAAAGGCAAAGTTTATGCCATCTCTAATGTTGATTGGCTTACGTCATCCATCTTTTAAAATATATATTTATAAATTTCCACATTTATCTCACTGAAAAAAATTGTCCACGCAAATGAAACTATCCATCCATCCATTCATCTACACAGAGACGAACAACCATCCATGCTCACACTCACACCTCGGGACAATTTAGAGTGTGCCATTAACCTGCCATGTATGTTTTTGGAATGTGGGAGGAAACCGGATTACTCGGAGAAAACCCACACAGGCGCAAGCAGAGCATGCAAACTCCACACAGAAAGGCCAGAGCTGGAATTGAACCCTGCAACTCTTTACTGTGAGGCCGATGCGATAACCAGTCGACCACCAGGCCGCCGCTGGATTGATTAATTAAAATTTAATTCTAAATAAAATTAAACAAGTTTGACTGTTTGTTTAAAATGACACATTTAAGATAAGATAACCTTTATTTGTCCCACACTGGGTAAATTTGCAGTCTACAGCAGCAAAATTTGTTTTAAAAAATTGCAGTTTAACTTAAGTACTTGATTAATTAATAAATTATCAATGTTAAACATTCGACATAAAATACTTTGAAAGAGTTATACATCACAAAGGCAACGTTTTTCTTCATTTTGATTCCTTTTTACACTACATTGTTATCAATGCAACATTTCTATTTGTTTTATCTGAGTTCAGAAAAAAAAAACAGTGTCTCAGAATTACATTTTTAAATTATGCAAACGAATTAAAACCATTTCTATTTGTTTTATCTGAGTTCAGAAAAAAAAGCAGTGTCTCAGAATTACATTTTTAAGTTATGCAAACGAATTAAAATAACGTTCACTTAATATTCCGGAGCTTTAAATTGTACTTGGGCACCACCACTTGCTGACGGATAAACACTGCGGTTTGGTGAATTTTTTTTTTTTGAGCTCCGACTGCCGTTTGACGCCTCATATCTTCGGTTTTCCAAAAACACCCGAACTCAACATCAAGACATCACATGGGTCGGGGGAGAACATACTCGGACAAAAATGTTTGTTTATCTCACCCGAACTCAACATCAAGACATCACATGGGTCGGGGGAGAACATACTCGGACAAAAATGTTTGTTTTCATCTTACTCAGAGCTACCGGGTACCTCTCGAGAAGCGTTGCCTTTATGTCGTTTTTCTGAAGTATGATTTATCGACTGCTATTGCTAACGAAGCTCGTCAAGCAAGCGCAAATTCCGACTACAATTAACTCAAGGCCGTCTAAGTAGTAAGTACAGCCAAACATTAAAGAGGCGAATATGACCAGGAACAAACAGTAGACTCCACGTGTGACGTCATTCGTCGGGATTGGTCAATTTAACGTCCTTATTACGTGTTATAGCGTTGATTCGTGATTTTGATAATTAGTGTTGTTTCACTGCCCAATAACACGTAATTTTTTAAATTGCTTTGAAGGTCACAGATATGTTCGTTGGCTGACGACAGTGACATTGTTTTTGTATTCTGTTACACGTCATATAACAAAAAGATGGGAGTTTAGTACAGGGCGTCGTCAGTTCAGGCACCACCGCCTCAAAAAAATAAATACCAAAAATTCGAACACTGGCAGATTTATAGAACGTGTTGCATATACATGTATTCCCTAATTATTGGAAGAAATTAACACAATCGGTGTCTTCAAATAAATATGAATTATTAATAACATGATTATATTCTTAGAGGTAATTAGAGCCAACATGTTATTTCATAAGTGTGTCAAACTGTTTGCCCTTTGCATGAATCAGTTCCCCTGAAGTAGCTCTGTTTCAAAAAGGTTGGAGACTCCTGCTGGAGAGTGATGCAGTAGCCTGTTTTCAGAATACAAAGCAAACACTACTACTACTCTAGACACGGGTGCCACACTATCTCACCGTTCACCATAAGATCCTTATGCATTTGCAGAATGCATCTTAAAATATATTGGTGAAACTGAAGTGTAAATAAAGACAACGTTGTGATCATAAAGTCATCTAACTGATTATTTTATTTGTACATCTGATACATGATTCAGATGGACCGAGAAACTACAACAGCAAAGAAAAGTTATTTTTGTGCGTGTGTGAATAATCAGACTGTATTTACTTGGGCGTTGTATGACCAAAAAAAAAAAAAAAGACCTCTTTCAGCATTTACTGACCCAGCAGCCATTAAAAACTCTGCTGGTTATTCTTGAGCACTGTACAAGTGGATTGGACTAAAAACAGCATGTCAGTACATAGAAAAATAAATACAGTTTGCTAAAATGAGGCCGCAATTGTAGTATCTGTGATTGTACCATTAAAAATCACATTTCAAAACAAAACTTTAAAGAGGCTTTTTTTATCTCTTTACATTAAATTGGGATTCTTATAGTTCTAGGAGAGGGATACATAGAATAACCTTTACAGAAAGGACTAGCTAAAAATATACAAGCACAGACACACACATGAGAAGTAAAGCCAAGAAAATGTTTCTTCATGAAAACCAAATAGCGCAGTGTAGTTGATATCGAAAGATTCTTTACATGGAGCTCCTTGGTCTGCAGCTTTCTTTAATTGGGATTAAAAACGGTTCTGGGAAACTTAATACAAAAGGGTTTTTTTCCTCTTCTTATTTTACAATGGTGTCAAAATGTGTTGTTAAAATATATGAGTAGCAAATTTGGGCTGTTTTCTATTCCCTGTTAGAAGAGAGTACCCCCCAGGTAGAATTGAAGATGACAATGAGACAGCGAATACAAAGCAGGCCTTCCTATCGTACCAAAGGAGTGGGGAACCTTTTGCCTGTTGGATGGTCCAAAAAAACGCCGATCGAAATGGAAAAAAAAAAAAATGTGACAATGAAAACAAGGTTCATCACAATGAGCATTTGCCAATTTTGTTGTTCAATGATCCTGTGTGTTTGCCCATTGTGATATATTTTTTAATTGCATCCCATCGGCTAAAGTGTCCCCATCCCTGCCATCCACCATGTTATCAGAGCATTCAAATCACTGGCCTTGATTGACTGACAGTGTGACACAAGATGGAGGATTCTATATCGATTCACATTATTACCATCACAAGAAGAAAGGTTTAACAGCAAATATTTATACATGAATATACTGCAAGGTTCAGATGGTTTTCACTTCTTACATCAGCAATAAAGAGGGAAAGGGAGAAAAAAAAGAACACAGTCAATAAGAAAAATAGATTGGAGTTAATGGTGAAAACAGTGCATAAAATATTTCTGGGATATTTTTTTTTCTTTACATTAAAAGGAAAGAAAATCAAAACACACTCCTGTCGAATCTTGTCCAGACATGCTGCGTACCACAGTTCTGCTGTACCCAAATGTTGGATGTTGTATGAAACAGAGATTGTGTGTGTGTGTGAGTGCGTGTGTGTGTGTGTGAGTGCGTGTGTGTGTGTGTGTGTGTGTGTGTGTGTGTGTTGGAGGTGATAGAGATTGCGTAGTGGTTCTCAACTCCGGTCCTCAAGCTCCGGCACTGTACAGGTTTTTGTTCCAACCAGGTCCTACAAAAACAAATAATTGAGTTTTATGAAGCGAATGAGGAATTCCGAAACTAAAAAGAATGCACACACATTTTTTTCTGCAGCCTGCAACACAAACAAACAAAAAAATGACATTATTTCTTTTTCCTGTGACATAAGCACGACAGAAATAGTGCGGCAGAGCCACCGCCGAGGTGGACACTCGTCCGAGAGACCCGAGGTTGGAACAAGAACCCACGGAGCAAGCCAGCCGTGGCGAGCGCTCCGGACTAAGGCACATCTGTGGCTGAAACGCCACAGTGAGCTCGCACGTGCTAAACACACAGGCCCGCCGCCGGATGCATCTGGGCTGACGAGGGCTGGGCTTGAGCACCACTGACCAAATGCAATGTGAGGGACCATGTGACCGTCTGCAGTAGTCCAAGGGTGGGCAAACTTTGTGCTTAAGGGCCACATTTGATTTTTAATATGGACACAGTCCTTTGGAGCTGGTGAAAAAGAAAAATAACTCATGTTTAGATATTATCATATAATATAGAATATGGTTTCGAAATAATGTTAAATACATGCATTGATCCTTTTTTACTAATTGGTGTGTTTTTGAAAACAGGTATTCAGCCTAATTTGCAAATGTTACTTTTTAATTAATTTAACCATTAACCAATTACCCAATAGAATATTATTCCATTTTTTTTACCTATTCCTATTTTTAATCAGGTGTAGAGAGGCGCTATGGTCTTCTGCAATGGAGGAAAATGTTTTAAAGTACTTGTAACTTGTTTTTAAATCAAGAGGTTGCATCGATAAAAATGTTAAAACGATCACAACTATTGTACTAATTCAACAAATGAACTCCATCTTGATAAACAACGTGTTTGCATCTATCTCGTATCACACGTCCGCTCTAATCAAGGCAGTGTATTGTCAACAGGTGACCCAAGATCTACATTTGGAATGGTTTCAATCGGAGTCATAAAAAATACTCTCGATGTAAATCCGTCCAGGGACGGTGCGAATGTGATTGTGAATGGCTATAAGTGCTCTGTGACTGACTGTCGGCCAGTTCTGGGTGTAATCCGCTTTTTGCCCAAAGCCAGTTGGGATATGCTCCGTCGAACCCTCGAAATTATTTAACACTGACATAAATGACTCAAAATAAATAAATTTTAGTTCGCCAATTTTTTTTGGGGGGGGGGGGGGTCTACATTCTTGCTCGGTGGGCCAGATTAAAGAGTTGGAGGGCCCAGGGGCCATATTTTGCCCACCTTGGTCTAGTCCATGAAGGAACACCCCTCCATCTTCAGTCATGCAGCAGCCATCTTTGAATTAACAAAATAACTGCCTTCCCCGCACCCTCCTGCCTCCGTTTATAGTTTACTGAGACAACTGGGAGTTGTCATTCTTGCTGTCCTGACTGGAGGGGGGCTTGCTGTTCCAGGGCGAGTGTGATCTCAATGCTGGCGAGCTGCTGAAACAGTCCTCATCCTCCAGGCCGTTGGCCCCGTCCAACTGTGTGTTCTCCAGTCGCGTGATCAGACGCTCATCCTCGTCACCAAACTCCCCTCCCATCAGGGTGGGTTCTCCCACCATCATCACGTCCTAAAGGGGACAGTAAGGGCCGGCACATATTATCCCCTTTAGACAAGGGGGGGACGGCGGGCAGAACGGCTGTCTGAATGGACGTGTTCTCTATCGCGTGGTATGTTTTTGGCCAATGTGCACACTGTGTGTAAGAGGCCTAATATTTCTGGCTGTCTCACTTATTCTGTATAAGGGGGCCGGCGGTGGGTGCTAAATGCTTCCATCCATCCATCTTCTTTCTATTCCACTTCTCATGGAGCCTGGAGCCTATCCCAGCTGACTGTGGGCGAGAGCCCGGGGAGGGCCTGGACATGGTTGCCAGCCAATCCCAACGAACATATGGGAGAGGCCAAAAACCATTCAAGTTCACATTAACACCTATGGACAATTCAGTCTTCCATCAATCTAATGTGCAAGTTTTGAAATGCGGAAGGAAACTGATGTAATGGCAGCAAACCCACTCCTAAAAGGAAGGCCTCAGCTGGGATTGGAACCCCAAAACCTCAGAACTGCGAGTAAAATGTGCCAACCATGAAGTCAACAGGGAAAATGTTCCCCTTTTGGGGATTGCATCAGACCAGGTAGAAAGGCCCTTGAGGCTTGCCCTGTCATGTTGAAAGTGATTGTCAGACAATAGTGATGCGGACTTTTCTCTGCATCACCTCGGCAAATTTACAATCCTGCTTCCTCAGACGTCAACACCATTAGGAGCCTTGCCAACCTGTGGGACCCTCCACAACAATCTTCCATCATGCTGCTGTTCACTATGAAGCCAGCTAGCTACTCCTCCAACATGGCGCTGCAAACATTCTCAACCTTGTACCCCAAACTTAAAATATATTTTAAAGAATTCTCAATGATAAACTTGTTTCTAAAACTATGCAAGTAATACAATCATTAATGTTTGAATAAAGGGGTTCATTCCACCTCGGGTCTCAACAACCAACCCTGTGTGTGGCTCATGTGAACCTTAATCCGTCAAACCAAAGCAACACGCCCCCTCTCCCAATAAAAAGAAAAAAACACACACACACACACACACACGAAAGCGACTGTGACTGCCCACTGCTACCGTACCCCAGTCCTCTGCACAATACCAAGCCCACCTCCAGGTGAGCTCTACGCTTCCATCTTCATCACAACCTTCAGCGGACCTTTGTTGCTGCACCTATAGGTGAAGTAGATGCCATGCTAACGGGTACCTGGTTGGAGAGGGAGAAGCTGTTGGCTGGGCTCTTCTTTTTGCTGTTGCTGTTGTTATTGCTGCCCCCGCCGGAGCTCACATTGCTGCCGCCTGACACCTTCCTTTTTCGCCGCTTGTTGGGCGCTTGTCTAGCAGGCTCGGCTATAAGCGCGTACAAAAGGGAGACCGTGAGCTTCTATTGACTTCTATTACAATTTTGGTTACAGCTAGGTTTTTTTTTTTCTTTTGTACCTGGGGGTGCGACCATCCTCTGCCACTTTTGGAAGAGGCAAGTCTTCAGGCAGTCTCGGGGGCTCAAACTGTAAGTCTTGTGTCTTGACATCAGTTCTTGCATGGGCTCCAATATCACACACAGCTTAAGAGGGTAACATTTTTAGGACATCATTAATAACAAAAAAATCTGGATTGTTATATGTACAGCTAAGCCCATTACAGTGGTACCTCCAAAGTCGAACACCCTCAGTTATGTGGTGCTGGTCAACGTTTAACACTTTCACCAATTTATCAGCATTACATAACCTTATTAAGTGTACAAGCTAATCTTTTAAGAACCATAATCAGAAATTCACATTCACCAAATTCATTTATCTACACGGAAAAGTAATCTCAGCCACTTCCCATTCTTAACCCACAGCATTTAATATAACGTCAGTCCACTCTTGACAGCTTCAACTCTTCCGGTAAGGCTTTTCCCACAAGATTTACAAGTGTGTTGATGGAAAATTTTGACCATTCTTCCAGAATTATGACCTCACGATTGCATTTGTGAGGTCACACTCTGATGTTGGACCCGTTTCCAGTTTTCGGACATGTGTGTGCTTACTGTGTGGTTGTTGTATGTTTTCCTCTCGAGGCACTTGACTTGCTAATGTGTTATTCATAGCTGATTACACTCCACTCTATTATTGAGGACAGCAGATGAAACATGATTTGATGGGCAAAAGCTTTCACTCACCATTCTTATGCCACACAAACGCCACCAGGTGGCAGATTGAACAACATCGGCAATTGAATCATCATACATAAAGTGAGGTGTCAATAAAAATAAATAAATAACAAGGCGGGTGAACGCAAATAATGAATTGGACGACTTTGGGAAAGAATCAACCAACGACAAACTCGTAATTATTAACAACTATTTACAAAAAAAAAAAAAAAAAAAAAAGCCACCTCTTGGCATGCTTGGTACTACTCTACGCATCGCAGTTTGCATTTTGACCCTTACCAAAACACAAAGCATAAAACTGAGAATCACAGATTTTGAAGGTTTTCTTATAATTGAACCACGGTTTCAGAAAGGCTTCACTGGACTCACGTCCCCTCCCGCAGGTCGTCATAGAAGGGAGAAAGCTCTGTGCTACTTACGCCCCCAGCACCGAGCTAGCAATAAACTTCAGCTGGCTACTAATGCGCAGAAATCATGTTGCTCTTTAGCTCTTGAGACAGTAATCACAGCCTCCATGGCGCCGAATAAGCTACACTTCTTACAAGTATTGTTCTCACGAAAGGATTACAAGGAGTAATTAACTGAGAGAAAGACGGAGAAGCCACGCTAATTGCTAAGCTAACCTAATGTTATTGTGAAAGACCTGAATTAAGTGCTTGGGTGATAAAGTAACATTTTCTGTTTTCACTGGAACCGTGTTAGAGCGGAGAGTATCCATCTTAGAACAGCAAAATAGTAAGCAATTTAACAAGCGTCTGGCGAGAAAATTATACAAAATATTGCTACGCACACAACAGGAAACGACTGCTATGTTCGTTAGGGCATCCCGCACATCAGTCAGGAGGAGTGGCCAACAAGATTATAAGTATATTACTGAGGATTCAGAAAATGGATGGATAGTATATTGAATACATTGCTAATGTGATTTGTCACAAAAGTCCTGAGTTTTGATTTTGACTTTTTAGATCAGCACAATAAATTATTCTCAAAATTACATTGCAGTTGGGCTCAGCTTTTGATGAATTATTTTTTTATTTTGAATCAATTTCTGTCAGAAACATTATTTTATATGCCTTTTGTGCAAAAATGTGTGCTACTGCGCTTTTGTTTGCATTTGATCATTTTATATAGCAGCACTACTGGATGTATTTTTCATTTGATGCAGGTCTGTTTAATGTCACTTCAAAATAAAGAGATAAAAGGTAACCAGTCATAATAGGTTACTTTTTTTTTTTAAAGAATAACTCAAACTATATCGTGGCATATCGTTCTATAGAATGGCCTATATTGCAACAGATTATTTTTCCCTATCGCCCAGCTCTAGAAAAAGCAAAACACGAGTAGAACTTAGCCTTGCTTGCTGAAATTTTACAAGATTTGCTGACATCACGCATGAGTTTTGTTTGCGTTTTGAGGCAGTTTTCTAGAAAAACTGACCCGTTTTAGGGCTTCGTCTGTGGACATTCCACTGTATTAATCTAGCAGTGATGAGCACTATTAAGGGCAAACTTCCTTACACGGAGGTAGTTGAGAGTGGAGTTGGACAGCCCACATCTGGTGATATTTTTAGCCAGTTGATCCAGCATCTGAGGATCCTGCAAGCACATAACGGACAACATCAGAAGTGGAATTTAAGGGTACGGCAACAACTGTAAATGCATGATGTTTGGGGTATTTAGGTTGAGCACTCACATGCATGGCCAGGATGCTTCTGGGGAGGACCTCTCGGTGTTGTCTGATGCTGAAGTGCCACGTCTTGATTCTCATCATGTCATCAAACATGAACTCGAGGTACAGACGACCCTCCACGCAAACCTTGTTAGGGAGACCCCAAAATAAGTTATACTGAGTAGTCCACAAAAGAAAGGCTGTAAAAAGACTTGCCAGACCTGTGTGAACATGGGTTTGCCGTTCTGGGTGACCATGGTGCACTGGTCACAGTCGAGAGACACAAAGTTACTGTGGAAGGATTCCTTCGGATGCTTCAAATTGTAGAAGAGCTCTGTTGCCCCACCCTCAAAGATGCTTCGAAAATATCTCGGAATCAACGTCCTACCAATGGCTAAAAGAAAAAAGAAGACATCACTGTCTAGTGGGGGGGGGGGGTCCGTTTATGACATATGGACAAAAACACTTGCAAAAATTATTGTAGTACAGGATATTATTTTAAAAAATAATTATCAGCGCGTTCATAATAATAATGATATAACAGTCAAAATATAGTTTCACAACCCCTATTCTCTGTAGTGTTTCTGATTTGGGTCACGGATGAGCTATACGAAAACAACAAACACAAGAGCTGTTCATTTTCACTTTCATGGGTCACAGTTTCGAAGGCTCATTTTGTATACTTGGAAATTCTTTTTATGATTCATATTTGGCAGGATTGTTGACACCTTCTCTGTGGTTGACGGTCAGGGACTCATGAAAACTACTTGCTGAGCTCCACACAGTGCGCGACAATTCGGGTTTGGCTACGTCGCTCGGTATGCGGCAGGCCTTAAACTTACTGTATCGTTTGGGTCCATCTTCAAGGCAGAAAGTTATGGTAAGCATCGCGTCGTCCTCGAAAAACTCTGTGGTGAATGCATCCCACCACAAATTGTCACAATCCTGAAAGAGGAACCACAGACAACTTGGCAATCCTTAGTCATAATTCATAGTTTACTTGCTGCATATGACCACAAGACAACAAAACTCATCCCATCTAATTTCGGACGCAAGTTGAAAATGGAAATGTATTAAATAAGTCCACATGTGTTTTCTTAAATTTTGCTGAACACGGAATTTCAGTACACTGAATCTAAAATCCTTCTGATGAGCAGAGATTAACATGCATGTGTTCGTTGCCGCGTCTGCAGACACTAGGAGAAAATGTGCGTCTCATTACCACCAACTCAGCTGGGCGCTCGGGCATTTAAACAGTTGGCACTTCAATTACATTTTAACCAGGTTGATCAGATAATCCTATTAGAGCCTGAATGTAAATTAAGTCGAGAGGGTTCTGGATTCATCTCGCACTCTCATCTTGCCATGGTAAGCCACCAATAAATGGCAGCTGGGAGGTAAATGTTAAAAACATAGCCGCGGTACATGCACAGCTCAGAGTGGTATTAAAAAGGCCTGGAAAATTAAAAGAGCCGGCCGGGTGTGTTTGTTGAGCTTCTAAATCTCTCCAAATAAATTGCATGACATCTCTCACCTCTGTCCAATTCTGTAGCCTTTTGTTCAGCTCATACATGCGATAGTCTGTCTGGTTTCCATACGGTGTGGGTCTCCTGCGGCAGGAAATGGGAAATTCAACACTCGGTATGAAGTTCAAGCTGCACTGATGTCAAATCCCACAGTACATACGCACACACATGCGTAAGCCGAGTAATTACAGGAGATTTACAATGTTAGTCTTTGTCGGCAAAAATGTTAAGTCCACATTGACGACACCAAGAATTCCTTCTTTATTTGCAAGGCTCTGAACTCACCCCATTCCTGGTTCCATGTATGACGGGGGATACATGGGTGTGGGCCTGACAGTAGACACACCAAAAAACTATCAGAATCATCAGATTCAATTCAGGAATGAGAGCTGCTTCATCATTGTGAGGTTCATGCATATTATGACCCATTTATGTTCTGTTATGAGCCCTAGGAACATTAAAATACATTTAGTCTGCTTCAAATGACTTGAAATGCTGTCTCATCTTTCATGAAGTAAGGTACAATGTTTGTGTAAAATTAGCAAATAAACTGATATGTAAATATAAATTTATGTTTTACATATAGCTAGCTAGGTAGCTAGCTACCTAGATAGATAGATAATGTCAACAGTCTCCGCAGCCCATCGCCGTATACATTCTTTCCACGACAAAACCCACAATGTCGCCAAAACGTTCTGTACAGTATTTCTAAAAACTTTCAGTTGTTTATAAGAAAAAGTTTCGAGTTTTTTTAATGCCCGTGCCTGAAAAAAGGTTTTATCTTTGGTTTCATTCAATACAGTATTGTATTGTATCCGTAGATGACAACTTCATTGATTTCACTCGCAGGTTCTTTTTGGAACATAACTCCCGCGATAAATGAGGGATTAGTGTACCTCAAAACACTCAGTTAAACACAGTCAAAAAACTCAAATAATATAGTTTTGATAGTTTCAGAATTTTTTTTTTTGTTTTTTTACTGAGGGTACTGCAGCGTGCTGCTGCAGCATCGTGAATATGGGCCACAGGGCGCTTACAGGCTCCTTCAAAATAATCTATGAGTGTCTCAAACAAAAGTGCCACCAACACAAACTATGAGCCCATCATTCTCCTCTGCAAGTTTTAATGATTTAGTACTTGAACATGATAATAGTCATTCTTATTGGAACTCTTAACTTAAAGTATGTTTCCTGTAAAAGAAAGTGAGTCCGTTGAATTTACAGAATACGTGCACGGCATGGTGCATGGTAAGGATGGTACCACCTCTGCCTCAATATTAGCCGGGAAAAACCCTGGTGTGGTTCAAGGAGACTTACCCCACATCTCGGTCCAGCATAGCGCCTGGGTGGAAAGGTGGAAAGCTTCCGCCGTTGGGGGGTTCCTTGGGAGAGTACAGCTTGAATGACTTTGACGAACAGCCTGCGCAGAGACCGAGTGACAGACAGCGAGACAGAAAGAGAGGCAGGGGCGGGTGTGGATACAAGAGGAAAGATTTAGAGAAGATTGCTTTGATGTAGATGCATTCAAATCACAACATCATCCACAAGTAATCCAACTCTTGCTGTTTTGTTGCGTTTAGCTCCAATAAAAGTACGCAGTCTGAAATGTTTTTTTTGTTGTTTTTTTTTTTAATTCCCCCAGAATCCACCCTCCCTGCCACCACCCCAGCTAGCCTTTGCAGGCTGCTTTCATTACCTAATGCATCTTCAATCTGCTAAATGGACAAGAAAAACAAACATGATCTGGCCGGTTCTTGTAGCATCCACACTGATGTAGGGATCCCTCCCTTCAAAGAGCGCCCATCACCATCTGCGCTATGTGTACAAATCCCCCCCCCCTCCAAAACCCATCCCCCACAACCCACCCGGCCTCTCTGTTGTTAACCCTTGTCTGGCCAGAGAAAGCATTCATGGGAACACATCTATTCTGTGAGACCTCACACAGGCAGTGGTCCAACTAATGATATCTTAAACTCTAGTAGACAGCGGCAGAGTGGGATAACAGGAGAGGGTGTTTGGGGGGGGGGGGGTTTCATTCCTTAGAAACATGAGTCTGTCTGCCTCTGCCTCATTAGAGCCAGCCACTCTCTCCACACATGTTTTCATTAGACATTAATTATGGCGCCGCAGTAGACCGTTGGATCACTCGGGCCTGCTTGTTGGTGATATTCTTATGTGGGGCATGAACATGCTGCACCTGAGGTGACGCATAGTTAATTGAAATAGTCACAATTTACGTGCAAACAGTGTGTCACTCTGAGCTTGCCGTTTAAAAGGCAGCGGTGCCAGATTAAAACCAACATGGGGATGACTGCGACACTGTCTTGTTGGGTTCTACTTGTTTAATCTTCTCACTGACGGGGCAGCAAAAGCTTGATTTTTGATGTTAGTCCAAAACCACTTCTACACTGCAAATACAGTCAAAGCCAGCAATTATACACCATTTTTCCATCCACGATCAGAGCCGTAAAGAGGCGGTCTTCACTTTACAACGGTACTGATGTGAGGTTTCGAGGTTATGAACAGGGTGCAATATTGACTAGTGAGTATACGTTAGCGACTTAGACACAAATTCAGGTTGGACCCCATGAGTGAAAAAAGGCTGTAAGTACTTTTTAGTAGGGGTGGGCCACAAAGTGGTACTTTTCTTTGATACAAATCTTTCTCAGTTGGAACTATACAGAAGAAAAGTTGGTGATTTTCCACAGTGCACTTCAACACAGCAATGCATGCACACCTGCGTACTCTCAAGTGGCCCACTCCCACAGGCTTTCACAAACGCTGAAAATATATTTCCAGGTTGGAAGCGAACGAGACTTTGCTGCCGCGAAGCCGCACACTTTCCAGAATGATTTGATTCAGGCGGGGGCAGATGGACTTCTCGGTGCTGGCAGTCGCAGGCGATATCTGAAAGGGAGGACGGCATTGTCTGGGGGCAACTCCCACATTTGTTCTAAATTCATGATGTTGTTTTGTTAATTGTCAACGTTTACAAATTGAAAAATCAATATTACTGTTAAATGAAACAAAAAGATTTTATTACAAACATTTATTACCACAAGCTAGAACTAAACAAATTCAAGAAAAGGTCATATTGTGATTTTTCTGGCAGATTTCATTCCATCAATATTTTCTTCAAATTACATCACCCTGCTGGTTTGGATTTTTTGTTTTCAATTTAGAAATGATGGAGGACATAGTGCTCATTTGAACCTTCAACGCACCAGAAATTTTTCTGTACCCTTCCCTTGATTTGTGCGTCGATTCAATCGTGACTCAGAGGTCTACAGACAGTCATAATGCTTCAATTGTGCTCTGGCATGCACTATCACCTGGGGGGACCTTATATAGACAAATGTGCCTTTCCAAATCATGTACAATCACCTGAATCTACCACAGTTGGACACCAATTAAGCTGTAGGAAACTCTCAAGTGCGATCAGTGGAAAAATGACCCGCTCTTCCATGACAGATTCCAGCCGCACATCGCATGGCACCACACCACCACCTTTGTGGCTTTTCCATTGCAACAAGTGCGGTGCGGGATTGACAAACTGTGCAAGCCCAAACTTCACACTGCACACTCGCAGCGTGTGGGGTTTTGGCCTAACATTTCAAGAGTGGCGAGTCTCAACCATTTGTTTTGCGGCAATTTAATACATAAATAGCCGTTGCAAATAAGAGACCATCAAATGCACAGACACTTTCAGACAGACGAAAAATCAATTTCTAGGTTCAAGCGAGAGACAGCCGCCCACCAGCAAAACATATACAGTATACAGAGTACACATATACTTGTTTTGCGTTTTACAACATTTCACCATATTTACAATTTCACATACCAGTGAATGAAATGGTAAAGCTTGTGGTAATTAAGTTTCACCGGGTCCATTCTCTTGGATGACAGCGAGCTCTTATTCACTCGCCTGCCTCTGCAAGTTGCAGTCACCGACTTTGTCTCGTATATTTACAGTAAATATAGTAAAATTTAAGTGAGTGCATTAATTAATTAATGCATTAATTAATTAATGCACTCGCCTAATAAGATACCTCCATAGTTTGGGATGAATATAAAAAAATAAGATGCAAAAATTCATATATCGATCTCATGAGACGGATACATATTATCACGTCGTTATCTTTATTATCGATTTGTATGGATCCGCCCACCACAGTTGCAAACAATGGAGCGCCGTCCGAACACACGGATGCTCAATGTGACCGCAATCAAATAAAACATTGTAAACAACACTACAAATACATCGGCAAGGACCCTCCTGGAGGTGTGTTATTACACAAAGTGTAATAAACAAGAAGCCGCGCGCACATGAACACACACAAACACTCCGCCAAACACACCGAGGCTCGGTGTAAACGGAGCCGCAGGGCCGCATCCATGACCGGACGACGCATGTCATTGCTAAGCTACTACATTGCCGTTAGCAGTCTTATCCTTTCGCAATACCCATTACTTGTATTTACTGAGCTGCGGTGAGCCGGCCGCGTGGGCGACGATGCGAGGCGCGCTATGAGGTGGGATTACCTGCAGAGAAAAGGCCACCAAAAGGCGGAGTTGCTCCTAGCCAGCTAGCGTCGATGCTAGCCGGGGAAGCTGGACGGCGAAGGCTCCAAGCTCCGTCGCGGCTTGGGAAAGCACTTGTACGGTCCCAACACATAAGACGCCAGCCAGGCGAAAATACTACAACCACCAACCTACAACTGTTTTAAAAAAATATCTCTATATGTACTTAGATATTGAGTGTAAGTGTATTTTTAGAAATGCATTAACATATGTGTGCGATGATAGTGATCTACCGCTGCTACTACTACTTGGGGACCCTTTGTTCAAGGGAGGCAGTCTTTCGCTACTTGATGAAAAAAAAGGCTCCGCCCCTTTGCGCGTATTAAAACACACGCGCACGCAAGGGCACAAACACGCGCCCGCACACGCACACACTTTGTTGTATTTCTATAGCCCCACTTCACAACAGAAATGATCTCCGATCACTTTACTTGGAACCTTTATCAAGTCAAAGCGCTCATATTTACATTAGAAATATCTCACGGCACAACCTCAGACAAAAATGTCACAAAAAGTACTCGAACTGATGTTTTTGTTTCCATTCACTCATAAATTGACTTGGCAAGAGTCAAAGTTGGACTTTTTTAAGAGGAGATTTACAGAAAGCTCTAACTTATTCTATTTTATATTTTATAAGGCCAACAGGTGGATAGTCAACCACAATGTCGTACTTGTGGAGCGTGGGCCACATCTGGCCCACCGCATCATTTTCTGTGGCCCGTGTAAGCAGATTAAACATGTCAACTTTCAAAATGCTTGTCAAAATTTCTAATTGTTACATGTATTAATAGCGTTGAGATATTGCACGTATTTTCTTATGTTGTTACTGTAACTTGAAGAATAGTTGAACAAATTATCATTATTGATTTCAAAACATATATATCAATTTGTTGTACAGTATACAGTATATGTAAGAATATTAAGAGGTGAATAAAAATGTGTATGGTTTCACAATCATAACGCTCGCTCCCCCCCAAGGGAAACTGTAACTACACTGTGGCTTGTGACAAAAATGAGTTTGAAACCCCTGGGACTGTGTGTTTTTATCAAACCTTCTAACATCTAATGGGAGGGCATTTAATTGTTCTGCTTGTCACTATAAACCACACTGACATATGCAGCTCAGCATATATTTTGTAGTAGTGGATATTTTTTTAGCAAGTCACTTTTTTTTAATTCATAACCCAGATTCAAATTCCCCAACCTCAGAACTGTGAAGTCAATGTGCAACCATGCCAGATTGAAGCTACTGTAACATTAGGCAAACTTTGAACACTTAATTCAGTGATTCTCTCACATAACACAAGAGGGTGCCCCAGAACACTTTGTGGTACTGGGTACATTTGCACAGGGGGCAAAGATTGGACTGAGCTGATGTGTTCAAATTATTACCCTTATGGGCCACTTTTGATTTTCAAATCTGAAATACGGGCCGAGTCGATGGTGTTTTTTAATAAGTGTTTGTAAAAACATATAGATATTCATGTTGATTCTAATAATTTCTTCAGATTTTTTTTCTGTGTATAATCATTTATATTCATCCCAAAGGATGATTTACAGTCTTCAAATTCTCAAAATCTGGAATGTGGGAGGGAGCCAGAGTACCTTGAGAAAAGTTAGATTTGAGTCCTAAACCTCAGAAATATGAGGCAGACGGGAGCTACACACAAGAGGTAAATAACTTTACGTAGCTTTGTGGAAACTACTTGTAACAAGGAAAAAAATATTTTCACCATATTTTAGAGCGGATCTCTCTGATCCTGCCAACCCCTCATTTTTTTCCTACAATTTCACTGTATCATACCAACATTAAAATTGTTACAGCCCAGCAGAGACTCAACATCAAGCACACAGTTAAGTGATTTTATGTTACTCTGTTTCTGCAATTTGTTGGTGCAGCCTTCATTTCTCTTGTGAATAGTGGGGGGTAGTATCAAAACCCCTTATGAGACTTGGCAGAGCACTTCTGTTTTATTTTACACTTATAACACATGCAACCATGTGAATTTAAAGATTTTTGAACTAGCTATTATTATTTGCCAGGAACCGTAATCGTTCCGCCATGGCAGAGCTCTTACAAGGCCTTATTTTAATTATTTTAATTAGGTTTTCAAATTTGATATAGTGTGGTTTCATTATTTTTTATTTCATAAACCGGTACCTAGTTTGGTCAAAACAAAACCACTCAGACTTGATGTAGGATGAAGAAAATGTTCACATGAATTATGGGGCCTTATCTTTTCATTTGTTCTGTTGGATGAATCGGGCAATGAAATCCATTTCCTCAGTCTTAATCATCATCCCAGCGTAATGAAATGATGATGATGAAATTAATTTGTACTGTCCTGACCTTCTCCGTCTTAAAACAGCGTTTGCTTTCATCTTCCTGGCGTCTGGAGTATGATCAAGCGCTCTGGCTTGCACGGCGCGGTACAGTGATGAGTATTCATCAGGCTGGTTAATTCAAGGCGTCTTTGTTAAGACTTTTGGGAAATGATTGACTCTGCTGATGGCTCAAATCCTTTTTAGACCACAGTCCTGATCCTTTCCTAGCCTCGTCTTATGTAAGGATATAATCTGCAACCTCACTTTTAATCAATAACCACTCTGATGTTTACAAGCAATAGATTTGAAGGAGCAGAAAAGCCTTTGTGGTCTCTAAGTGGGTTTTAAGCTCAATTGGTTGAGGCCTTCGCTTAGTCGGTTTGTGTAATTATATAAAGCAGGAGAGCAGATGAGGAAAGTGAAGTGGTGGGTTTTATTGAAAGGCTGCGAGTAAATACATCAGAAGCCCACCGGGGACTCTTACTGGAAAAGCTGCACATCAGATCACGGCTACTATAACGATTTGAGAATCTTCAGTCTACAGGTGAGTGGGTGGGGCAGCCGTCTCCATCAGGGTCACCAGGGGCGATTTTAGGGTCAGAGGTTTAGCGGTGCTGGTATCTTGGCCATGCAAGGTCATCTTCACCATTTAGTACATTTTAATGCCATTTGAACTTGATTCACAATTTGTGAAAGAGAAGACTTTCTGGAACATGGACATTTAATCAGTTCGCTTCTCAATAGCACCATGGCCTTAAGATTTAACAGGACGCACCGGCTAGGTTCTCTTATTCCAATTCAAACAGAGGACAGTGGTGCCATCTCTGACAAGCTGAAATCTCCTTTTCTCACTTTAAAAAAATGCCGGCTAACCCTACCTAACAACAAAACTTAAATTCATGAAAAATTAGGAGTAGTATTGATAATCGTGTTGGTGAGGCACTGAGCGGTAAAGGTAAAGAAATGTTCCACATCAGCAAGATTTTACTACTTACACCAACACACACACACACACACACACACACACACCGCGTATACTGTACATCCACACACGTTCTATTACATACTCCTCATAATCCACAGTCTTAAATGTTAAATTTACAAAGCTGCTGATGGAATACATTATAACTAATGCATGAGGAATTAAGGGAGAAAGCTGTTCTGACAACATTAATCTTTGTTTTTTTTTTGTTTTTGTTTTTTCTTTTAATGCATTGATTGCCAACTTCTGTGGAAGCTCGAGAAACAAGGAGCTACACTGTCCTCTGCTGGAGACCCTGCATACACGGTAACAATCCTTGCTCATAAAGTTTCCAAAGCACCAAATCAAAACTATTCAGGAAAAAAACAACAATCCAGTTATTATGAATATCTTTTTACAGACATTGAATGAGTTTTTATCAAGGTCAGCAACGGATTCTAATTATAAACACTAAGAGACACCAAATGAATCAACAAGAGAGAGCAAGAGAGTGAGAGATTTGTACGGGTTTCCTCCTTCCTGTTGCATTTGGGGGGTGTACTAAATTATGTTTGGATTATTGTTATTGATATGCACTACGAGTTCCTTGGGTTTTGAAAAAGATTGAGAACACTTTCATGAAGATGTTTTTTTTTTTTTTTTTATCACTACCCGAGTTTATCAGTACTAGTAGAGAATGAAATGACGTGCGCTGGGGGGAGAAAAGGGTGTTTTCCCTGATCTCACTGCAACACTGTGTGCGGTGTGTACTTCTCTGCTGCTTAGCAAGCAGAGACAGATGGGAGCAGTACGTCAAGTTATTTAAAGACTAATGTTGGAGCTGTTCCACTGAATAATGAAACACCTATGGCACGGTACTAAATTTGACAGGAATATTAGCACAGCTGATTTATAGGGGCGGCATGTAAAGAAAAAAAATGTCAATGTCACACCTCAAGTACAAATTCTCTAAGCCCACAGTGTTGGTTGCTAATTCAAAGGCAATGAATCAACACGGCTGCTGATATTTTCATGACTGCATGGCGCCGCTGGTAAAATAGGACTTTGTAAATCCTGTTTTATGGCATCTGATTCCTTTAACGGCTCCCATCTGCCAGCATTTACCTTGATTTGCATTCTCTCTGTCACGCGCACTGTGTGCATCATTCACATTGGATCTCTGGCCTGTCAGCAAACAGACATTTATTAAGTCTTATCATAAAAGTATGAATCAGGGTGATGATTTGTATTTACAAAGTCGTTCAAACTGCCTCAAAGTGATTCCCTCCATTTTGTGGCTTTAATATTGGGGCTGAAGATGTGCTCTGGTCTTTAAGAAAGTCCTCATCTCTTTCTTTTCCCCTTCATGCCCCTCCCTGCTTAGGTGGCACATGCCAGCTTTCGGCCGCCATGCTGAGGGGCCTGCAGCAGATGTGACATCCATCACATCAGCTCATCTCCACTCTGCAAAACCCCTCCTTTCCTGATGTTAGACTCCCCAGCATCTCCCACACATTCCTTCTCTCTCCCTGCCTCCGCACACACGGCCATTTTGGTCTCGTTTACAGTAAGGAGTGGAGAGAAGAGGCATAAAAAAGACGCTTTTAACCAGCGTTGTTGTGTAATCCCCAAAATAAATAAATAAATAAAAATAAAAGGCTGCCATCTTGGCTCTGCTTGAAGTCACTTTTCTCCAGTCAGGGGCCATGTGACTTTCTGCATGAGGTAACAGCGATGTTAGTGCAGAGGGGGAGTGAAACAAGGGCAAAGAGTGAGAGGAATGGAGGGGAGAGGGGTGGGAGTGATGAGCCAAGGGGAGAGTGCGCCGGAGTGGGTGCGTTTAGGGGAAAGGGGCGGGGGGGAGCATACATGCAATCTATTTTTACCATTTAGTCAGAACAAAGGATGTGATTGGCTCCACTGCATTAGGGCGCAGAGAACAAAGCCTTAAAAAAAGGCAATGTCACAGCAACAACAGAAGGTCGCCAGAACA